TGAGAAATGCTGTATTAGCCATTGCAAGGCTGAGGGGAAAGCTGAGTCGAGTTGACATTGCAGTGCGCTATGGGACCGTTTAGGGAMCGAAATGCAAGCATTGGAAATATCCCTAAAACACTCCCACGATGCACTGCATACTAACTCGACCCAGTCTTTTCCTCGACCTCGGAATGGCAATTTTTTTACTGTTTGCTGTTTCATTGYGTTATACGCATTCTATTCCCTTGCTAAAGGAGTGTTTTGTTTTCGTAATACCATTTCTTGCTCAGCTCATTCAATTGCAAGTCTTTTACCGCACACGGTGAATCCAAGAGCTGCGTGACATATTCCCTTCATGATTGTTTTACACTATTTACTAAAAAAAAATATTTTGGCTACAATTCTAAGCTTGTTTCTTCCCCGCCTCTCAACAATTCTATTATTCCTTAGCGTTGTATTTTTGCTACGAGTAGCCAGCCTTTTGTCTTTAGTACGAATTAATCTACAGCCTCTATTCTTGCTGCCAAAGCTTGACATCCTACATCCTGTAGCGCGAAACAGAAAGAAAGCTCGAATCAATTGATTAAATTATGAATTTCCCCATTATGTTTTGGTTAAGCTTTACACACGCTAAATCGTACAATTTATCGTTGCGACAAAATAAGGTTTTGGTGGACATCAATCAAAGTGTTTCCATTTTGTCGTCGGAAAACGCAAAGTTCTCAAGGTTGGGAAGCTCTTTAAGATTTATTTATTTTCTCAATCTGTAATCGTATAGAAAATCTTTCCCCTACTACTGCGCATGCTCCATGATGTCTCTTTGAAATGTTTTTGCATGCTGATCTATTCTAAACGACTAATCGCGTGCGTTCTCTGTCTAGGAGCCAGGCCCATCTTTGAGGGTCTTGTTAGCACTGTTTTCGTTTCTCTCAACACGCAATGTTTTCCCCCAATTTATTTAACTTCCTGCTCGTCAAATGACTTACTAGAAAAAGACATTCTCTTCCTTTCCCTGGTTTATGTCGACCTAATAAGCCACAGGAACCCCAAACGCTATTTATTATTTCTAAACAGATACACAAGTCAAGGAGGTGAATCAGCCTTGCAGGACAACCAGGAAAGACTCAAGGCTGTTGAAGACAGAGAAAAACAGATCCACCGAAAGAAACTGGGAATAACCGAGATTATCGACTCGTTCAAGGAAGACATCTCTAAACAGGAAGTGAGTAGTAGCATTCAATTGAGTACCTAACCGACCTGGGCTTAAGTGTTAGGCCATACAAAGGGTGGAAAATACGAGAACTCGGAGAAAAACCCTGGAATCAAAGGAGAGACCTAACACACTTTACTTACATGTATTACAGAGGTGAAGGCACTACTGCTACTTCCACATCCTTCAATCCTCCATACCTTGAGGTTACATACCTTGAGGTTCAAAGTATGGACTGGAAAACACACCTTGTGCTGCAATAAGATTGTGGATCTTGTACCAGAGTCGTTTTATGATTTAGTCACATAATCCGATTCATATGTAACAAGATAGTTGCCACTCTTTCTTCCAACTTGAGACATAAAATATTACCTAATTTGCCTTCTTCAGATAAAATCGCGCGACATAGAAGACAATTTGAAACTCAAAAGCACTCAGAAGGATATTCAAAACATRGAAAATAAGATCGAAAGTGTGGAAGGAAAGCTTGATCAATATRGTGATCCACGAAGTCTGAACAGGTAGGAAAAAGCCACTCATTTACTTTCGCGATAATTTTCATGACCAGCGACGCATGCGCATGACAACTTCTAGGGTAAAATGTAAATCAGAGCAAGGTTTCGAAACACGTCCCACATGGAAAGGAGTGCCTTTGCATGGTAAGACATGAGTGACACAAGACAAATTTCGAGTATGCTGGTCATAGCAAGGGGTTAATCATCTACGGTCTAGGGGCCGACTAWCCTCTCCCTTAGGCTTCGGCCGAGCTTCCTGATCAGTCTGTAAATCTTCGGATAGCGGTGTCGGGGTCGAAATCTCCGGCGTAGCCGTAAATGCTTCGCGCYGCCATACGACGGTTCAGCACTCGATGTCTGGAAGTATGGTCCTTAAAAAACCAATAAAATTTAAAGTAATCTTTTAAAAAAAATTCCTAGCAGACGAACTAAAGTAAGTGCACATGCGTATTGTTTTCTTACAACACGTTTTTTCAGCGAAAGATCGAGACTACATCGACAACTAGATGACTTGCACAAAGAGGTAACACTTGTATAGTTCATAGAGGTTTAACTTGACAATATCATGTTGGAAGACAGTATCTCTCTTACTGAAAATATAAATTAAAAACAATTGACGTCACATGATAATGTTCTAACATAAGTGTCATAATACCTCATTCACTGAATGTAGCACTCCGTGTGTTTTGTAGAAATCTCATCTTGAAGGAAGACAAAAAGGCTTCGAGGATGAGATACGAAGATACCAGACTGAATTACGAAGCAACATGTATAACAACGCGGAAGAAAAACACAGACAGAAGATCATTGAAATGAAGGTAATACTAAATAGAGCTGTGACCTCACGGTGATTGGATAAGAAGTAACATCGGGTGCTGTGATTGGTTGTAAAAAGACGTCAATCCGTGCCGTGTTCTTTAAAAATTTATTGTCAAACGAACGGTTGCCCTCTACAGTTCGATCATCATAACTGAGAAATATCGGTAAGCCCAAGGGAATCCCCTCACAAGGGAATCCCCTCATATCAATCACAATAGTCCTCATTAATATTTACATTACGAGACATTACCCTGCTGGTGATGCATCATGGGATACATTGAGTAAAGAAAGCGATAGGTCATGCCCAGAATATTTCAGTAATGTTTTCATTGTATTCAGACTACTCAAATGGCTAGCGTGGATCTGGACAAATATTACAAGGCTCTTGACAGGTATGTTCACTTTACAGTACCTGCGTTACTTCTGGTCAGCAGTGCTACCTGTTGCTAATATATTCAAATATTATTGCAGAGCGATAATGAAGTATCATAGCTTGAAAATGGCTGAGATCAATAAGATTATTAAGGAATATTGGATCAACACCTACAAGGGTGGTGGTGAGTAGAGATGCACCTGTCAATATTCATCCCCATGGGTGGGGCACACCCTACGGCATTTAACAATAAGGTGAAGAGATTGAGGGCTTGTAAGGGTAGGGATAGCATSTTGACATCTTCCTCTCAGTCACAGTAACTAAGTAAGGCCGATTAATCAGCTGGCTATCATTCTAGCAGCTGCTGTCTCTCCTAGCCTAGGTTTCATCTGGATGATCTGTTATCGTTTTGTTGCAGATATTGAYACTATTGAGATTCGTTCAGATGAAGAAGAAGGTAGCGGTGCATCTAAAGCAAGGCGAACATACAACTATAGGGTTAGTAAATCCTCTTACCCCATTGACTCCACAGAGGGGGGTAGTTGGTTATGATTGGSATTCCTGTGTTTAAGGATTCTTGTGGGAAATGAAGGATTTGTATCTCGTCTTTGATTGGTTGATATATTGTATGTTGATTCAGGTCGTGATGATCAAAGGAGACATCGCATTGGACATGAGGGGACGATGCAGTGCAGGACAAAAGGTATGTATGCTCTACCCTTAGATATATCACCCTTTATTCTRATGATGCCACGCCTTCTAAAGCGCTCAGTAAAGCAATATTATTTTCAATGCTTTTGTGGCTTCTGCTTGGAGTATGCCTGTCAATTTGTCGATGCGGCTGTTGTTGCTGWTTTCGTTGTTGTAGTTGCTGCTGCAGTTTGTCGTGGTCTTCGTATTTTCGCTGATAATGGTACTAATACTGTTGTGGTTGTGGTGGTTATATTGTATTCCAGGTGCTTGCATCCCTGATCATCAGACTAGCATTAGCAGAGACATTCTGCTTGAACTGTGGTATATTTACCTTAGACGAGCCAACCACCAACCTTGATGAGAGTAACGTCTACAGTCTTGCTGATCAGCTTGCTACGTAAGTATATCAGTCCAGTGCACTTGGTCCAGTAATTTCAGTTTTCCCTACAGACTAATGACACAGTTTTCAATTTTCCTTGCAGCGTGATACGCACTCGACAGKCTCAGCGTAATTTCCAGCTGGTCGTCATCACTCATGACGAGGAATTCGTCGACACTCTTGGCCGAGCAGATTTTGTTGACTATTACTACAAAATCTACAAAAATGACAGGTAAAAATGAGATGATTTTATATCCACCTCAGCCACGTTGTAAGGCTATTGTCGTTTCTTTATTCACTTGKGGATACCATAAAAACCGTACCTAGATGTTGTGCACGTGTTGGTTCCCGCGTAAGATTGTTTCTTAACAGATAGTGTTTGATGTTTTTGGTTTCAGCGGGTTTTCTAAGATCGCTAAGCAGAGTGTGGCATCCTTACAGAGAGAGGCGTCTTACGTTGAATGAATCGGTATTTCATGGATACAAATAGATGTACATTAAGTGGCCATCTTGGTCAAATTATCACTGTCACGTGGCTATCAMGTTAAACACACATGCTGTCCTACCCGACAGTTCTTAACTTGTTATTGTTTTCTAGGATATTTCTCGTTTCTGATTGGTTGCGTATTTGTTAAGTCAGATAAACACCAAGTTGTAGTTTTTAGAACTAATGTCATAAACAGAGCACGAACCTATTTTTCTAGTTTTAACGAAGCTTTGAAATAGAGAATAGTGTTGCAAGATGTCGTTGATTCTTGGTTGTTGACTTATTATACCAGTCAGTATGGCTGGGTTGTACTGTTGTCGTTATATCCAGGATAAGTAGCGCTAAATACACACCTACCTCATGATCAGTCGCGAAAATAACTTGTGCAGTTTTGTTAGCTTTAATAAAATAAATTACTGGTCGTCAGTTCAAACTGAAATCCTTGTCATCTTATTGTTACATCTTTGGAATAAACGCTTTCTTGGTTGAACGTAAATGTTATTTTGTGTTGTTCCTTGACCTTTCGCATCAAATTCTCAAACGTCCTTTGAAATGAAAGTTTTGTTGTTCAAACCAAAATAAAAGATTGTATAGCTTTTAGAATTTCTATTTGCCATTCCATCCCTCTATATTTGTTATTTCATTTATTTTCATTTGCACATGAAAGTTCAATTTCGACATTTCATGTAAAATCAATGTTTGGTGGTCCAAGACAATGCGCAACCATAAGAATACAGGATTGTAAGGTTTCTTTCTTTTGCTTCTTTTCCATTGTGGTTTTTAATACGCYTTTAATCAAAAGATCGAAAGAAAACCAGAAAGAAAAAGTTATTTGCGTTGATTACAATTGTTTGAAAGAAAAGCATTTTTCTCTTGTGACATGTTAACTCAGGTCGTAGAGTTTTGGCTCAGCTGGGCAGATGTTGTCAAATCGAACGGGTGTTGCGGCCATACTGAAGGTTCTTTATCRTATAAAAGTCGACTTAATATTAAACTTGGAACGAAAAACCCTAAKAACTTACTGGAAAACATTAACGTGATCCCTTGGTAAGTGATTTTATTATACTAATTTCCTAGATATGAATAATCACACTGAATATCTTTGTTTCTCCATCAACAATTGTTAAATAAGAACTGAATGTCATTCTACGCATCTTGATTCAGAAAAATGAAAACACAGGTAGTGGTGCTTTTGATTCCAGTTTCATTGCCCCTAAGGGTGCCTTGTCAATCCTGGTCCACTTTAATGTGAACATTCTCTTGTATTAGTAGTCCTAGAGTAAGGACGTTTGATTGAAATCAACTGAAAATGTGAGACTTCGATTTCTGAACTAATAATGGCTTTATGCTGCGTCAGTAATGATTTGTTCGTAAAATCCTCTCGTAGGAACCATGGTTTGCGAGAAAACATCTTAGTTCTTAGTTACAGGACCATCGTAGACTTTTTGAAGAAACTTCTGATTATACTGTTGCGCCTCTAATACAAYGAATGCAACCTGCCTAAAACGGGCACTTTAGAAGATTCTATAAATGTCCGTACTGCACAGGTTCCTAAACTACTCACCATTACTTTCTTCTGTATTTTCGCACCAGATATTGTCAAGCATGTTGAACCCTATCATACCTTTATGTGTCTTCTTGGCCTTATTCTCAACAGTCAGAGGTAGGTGTTGTTATCAGGAGTATTGATATAAGAGCAAACAAGGGCCGTACCGGCTAGCACTCTTCTTGCGTTCGTGTCATGAGCCGTGGCTATAATGATCATCTCTGAGCAACGACATCACCTGATCACTATCAGCATCATCATTATCATCATCACCATGCATCAACATCATCACCATCAATAACATCATCATCACCATCATCATCACCATGCATCAACATCATCATCAACATCATCACCATCAACAACATCATCATCAACATCAACATCATCATCATCACCACCATCATCATCACCATCAACGACATCATCACCATCAACAACGTCATCACCATCAACAACATCACCATCAATAACATCGTCATCACCATCAACACATCATCATCACCATCATCATCACCATGCATCAACATCATCATCAACAACATCATCACCATCAACAACATCATCATCAACAACAACATCATCATCAACAACATCATCACCATCAACAACATCATCATCAACAACATCATCATCATCAACAACATCATCATCATCAACAACATCATCATCAACAACATCAACATCATCACCATCAACAACATCATCAACATCATCACCATCAACAACAACAACATCATCATCATCATCAACACCAACAACATCATCATCAACATCATCACCATCAACAACATCACCATCATCAACAATAACATCATCATCGACACCATCAACAACATCATCATTAACATCAACATCATCACCATAAACAACATCATCACCATCAACAACATCATCAACATCAACAACATCACCATCAACAACATCATCATCAACAACAACA